TCAACTTCATATTGTCCTTGCTCTGGATGTATCACCCGTTGGACAAAGAAAAATCCTGACAAGGTATAATAGAACTCGGGCCTTCAGGTCATCCCCCTCGTAAGATACGCTTTTGATTTCCTCTTCAAGTTTAGCATATGTAACCTTGTGCTTCAAATCATATTTGGAGGCAAGTGTTTTTCAGTTCTTAGTCTTAATGACTTCTACAACACTTTTGCCTTTATTTTCTACCCCCAATATGGCTACAGCACATGGGACCCCCAGAGGAAATGAATAATCATCATATATAACCCTACATTGTTCTACATCGAATTGCTCCACCAAGGATCGACACATTTCCATCTGAATTGGTCAATCCCTTACTCTGATCAAAGATCCAACCCACATTTCTTACGGCACATTAACTTTATTCTTCTTCTTAAGGTGTTTAATTAATGAGTTCACTCTTTTTATGTTGCGCCTTGTCGACACTACCTACATTTTTTTAAAAATATATAATGTTATTGTTCTTATATATTTTTTATCAAAGTATTTACAAGTTTAATGAATACCTTCTTTTCATGTTCTTTCCTCCAAGCTTTGTATTATTGTCTTTCCTTTTTTGACCGTGTCACGTAAGGTTCCTTCTCAGCATCAGTCATCGACTTCCATTTCTCCAACACATCATTTTCACCTAAAATTAAGCATAAATATTTCTTAATCAATACAACAACGCTAAATAATACTCAATGATAATTTCATTTTACATATCGAACCGATGTGATTACCAGCTTCCTTCATCCTTTAGCATTCGATCATACTATCAACATTTAAAATTTGTAATCAATTTAAAGTTCTTAAATACTTTAATCCAATTACCATTTCAAAATTAATAACAAAAATACATTGATACTAATTGAATTACCTATATCCACCCATTGGTTGTTTTCGATTTCCTTCATTGTTCATACTCTCGGACTCAATTTCAAAGTCATCTTCACCAACAACAATTGCAAGATCCGTTGACTTCATTTTTCCTTCATATATCAGTTTACGCAAATCAAAATCAAATATTGGTTACATACACATTATTCAATATACAAATATCGATAACTACTCTTGTAGTAAAACAGTTTCATTCTAAAGAATTTAAATGGCCACTACTACAAGTATCAGTACATTTATACAACCTACAATATCATTTTCTGCCTATAATATTATATACAGGCATCGATATTTATTTTCTACATATAATATTATATAATCAATCCCAAATTCTTCTTGGCTTCGAAATCCCCAAACCAAACCCAAAACCCTAATCCCTATTTCCTTCAAACGAATAAGAATACTCTATACTACAAGTATTGGTATATTTATACAACCTACAATATCATTTTCTACCTATAACATTTTATAAAAGTATCAATATTTATCATCTACCTAGAATATCACTTTCAACATGTAATTGGTCTCAAATGCTTCTTTACTTAAAAAACCCCAAACAACATAAAACTCTATTTCCGATTATTGTAATAATAAAAAAACTAGGGTTTCGACAACATACTTTTCGATTCGACTGCAGCAATAAACAAACAAACTTCGCTTTAAAAATGCCTTCTGAAATGCATCAACAATTACGCTTCGAATAAGAAAACTACGGCCGTGTTCTATATATTTTCAGAGGAAATTTAGTTATTCCTTTGATATCTTAACCGGATATGTTTTTTATATTTAATCGATACAATTACCCAAGTCTCAATATTTTTATGTTAGGTGTCGATACTTTCGATATGTTTTCATTTTTTTCTTTTAAAAGTATCCATAATATCTTACATATACTTATTAAAGTATCGATACCTTCAACATATCCGGTAGCGCTTTACTGGTTTTGTCATATTTTTACATGTTATATTATTATGTATTGATATATGTTTATAAAGTATCGATACTTTATAGGCGCTATTACTGTTTTTCCTTTAAATTCCAAAAGTATCGATACTTGTTTGAATGGTATTAATACCTTCAACATATCCGGTAGCTCTTTACCGGTTTTGTCATATTGAAACCGGTTTTGTCATATTTTTACCTGATATATTGTTATGTATCGATACATGTTTATAAAGTATCGATACTTTATAGGCCCTATTATTATTTTTCTTTTAAATTCCAAAAGTATCGATACTTATTTGAATGGTATCGATACCTTCAACATATCCGATAGCTCTTTACTGATTTTATTATATTAAAACCGGTTTTGTCATATTTTTACCCGATATATTGTTATGTATCGATACATGTTTATAAAATATCGATACTTTATAGGCGCTATTATTGCTTTTCTTTTATATTCTAAAAGTATTTATACTTATTTGAATGGTATCGATACCTTCAATATATCTAGTAGCGCTTTACCGGTTTTCTCATATTAAACCCGGTTTTGTCCTATTTCTATCTGATATATTATTATGTATCGATATATATTTGCATGGTATCGATACCTACCGACAAACTAAATTTGTCAGTTGCCAATTTTTTTAATATATTTTCATGATTTTCATCTACAACATTATTATTACTCAACATTTCCGATAACGTTAAACTAACTTTATTAAGTTTCTTATTATATTTCTGACAATGTTATATATTAGCAGTATATTAATCTATGTTTTCAGAGAAAATTTGTCAGGAAACAAGAAACCACGAAGTGGAAACAACTAAGAAAACCCACTTAAATAACAGTTAGATAAACAAAAAAAAACTCTGAACTAAAAGCAAAAACAAATGTAGGCCCCTCAACTTCTCTGAGCAAAACAAAATTTTCGTTGATGGAGATCTGGCAGAGAAGCGGAGGAAAAAAAGGATTGAAACCTTTGAACCACAACCAATCACGTGAACGAGGGAGATCTAAGGAGGGTTGAGGCACCTTCTGTCTTCATCACATTATTCCTCGACATGGCTCGGAGCTTCCTCGATCCAAAAGGATTCCGCAGAATCCCAACCATCACTGGCAGCCAGAAGGTGTGTTACCTTATTTCTCAATCTTGAAGTAAAGATGAAGTGACATGCAACCAATGCTTCATCCCTTTTTCGAGCCTCCCAAATAAGAGCACTCACCTCTGAGAAATCAAAATTTGGTAAAGCAAGCTTTAAAATTATCGACTTTTAGTTTCCTTCAACAATGACTTCCCAAAAACCCAAATCCACCGTAAAAGAGAACACATGGACAGCCACGGTAGCTTCTGCAATAAACGGTGAGATGACCCGATTTTGAAATCTACTACATGCACCCACTATTTCTCCTCGATCGTTTCTAATTATGACCCTTGAATGTGTTGTTTTATGTGCATGTGAGTAACTCACATCGAAGTTAACCTTCACCATAATAATGGGTGGGGGATGCCAGCTCTCAGACGGAGCAGAGGACGGACCATGGAGGCTAGAATTTGATGTTGAATATTTATTACAGTGCGCGCAAATGAAGGAGATGGCTTCAACTCTCCCTGTCCTTTTACCCTCATGATACTGCAGATTACGGTAATACCACAGAGCCCAAATTGTAACTAGAAGTAAAGAATGATTAATGGTAGAAACATGCGATAACATCCACTCAAGCCATGCATAACAATCCACCGAATTCATACTCGCATGCCACTGTATATTTAACCCCTCCTATCTTCGGTCGCCAAGCGACAATCACGTATAACATGGACTACTGATTTAACTACATTATTACAAGTAGGGCAAAACGGATCGTTAACCAGCCTTTTAGTGAACATAATTTGTTTAGTAGGAATATAGTTTAAGGCAAACCTCCAAACTTGGATCTTAATTTTGCGTTAACAAGCCCTGCCCTTATCCCGCTATAAATTCCATTAACCAACTACTCACTACCCTTGTGTTGAAACAACAAACGGTAACCGCTTCGGACATTGTACTATCCCATTTTCTCTTTTCTCCAAATCCTGACATCATCTAAAGAGAAAAACGATAGGGGGATTCCCAAAATCTGATCGGCCTCCTCTCAGACAAAATTTGATAAAACCGTATCTTCCTTGTATTTTCACGAACATTTATCAATGAGGTCCGAGACACTAATCAAAGCGTCTACCCGAGGAGAAGTCACCAAGGTTGGTCTCCTCCTTGGGAGCCAATAATCATTCCAGATGGATATGGAAGAGCCCGTTCCCATATTTCATCTTAGACGGGAATCCAGCAAACCTCGAGCGCTCCATATACTTCTCCAAATGTACGAAGGTTGGCTACCAAGTCGAGAGTTGAGAAAATCACCTTGCGAAAAATACTTTTCACGTAGAAGGCGGCTAACTAACAAGGTCGGATTAGTAAACATTCTCCAAACTTATTTTTCCAACAATGCAACATTGAACTTCGCTAAATCATGAAAGCCCAAACTCTCCGATTCCTTCAAAAGGCATAAAGCTTTCCACAAACACCAGTAAATGCCCCATTTTAGTTCCAATTTCTGCCACCAAAATCGGGCCATTACTCCGTCAAGCTCTAAGAAAAGACTTTTAGAGAGTAGAAAAACATTTATTGCAAAAAGCGGAATCGCTTGCAACACCGACTTAATGAATACTTCCTTCCCCCTTGAGACAAAGTACACACACACACCAGTTATGAATCCATGCTAAGAATTTACTCTTAAGATGAACAAAAGCCCCTTTTCATTTCTCCCAACTATCGCAGGTAGACCCAAATATTTCTCCAAGCTACAGGTGCTTTCAAACGCTAAAATTTGTTTTACATCCTCACGATTTACATCAGTGATATTCGAGCTGAAAAACAATCTTGATATGTCGAAGTTTATGACTTGTCCTGAACATTGCCCACAAAGCCTAAGCAACTCTTTGAGATGAAGAGCAATCGAAGCAGAGGCTTATCCGAAAATCAAACTGTCATCTGCAAAGAGCAAATGACTAATCATAGGAGCATAAAGGGTAATTCGAACACCTTTCAAAACACTTGAACTGATTGCTTAATGAAGAAGGGAAGACAACATTTCACTACAAATTAGAAATAAGCAAGGGCTTAAAGGGTTGCCCTGACGAAAACCCCTCTGGGGAGTAAAACTCGGTCCTGCAACACCAATCACAATAACCGAATATGATACTGTGCAAACACACCGCTTTATCACTTCAATCCATCCCGAAGAGAACCCCATTCGCAACATAATATCCCAAACAAAATCCCACTCGACCCGACTGTATGCCTTGCTCATATCGAGCTTTAGCGCAAAATAGCCACACTTCCCTTCTCGCTTACGAACAAACGGCTGCAACATCTCATAGGCAATTATTATATTGTCAGTAATGAGCCTACCGGGGACGAAAGCACTCTGAGATTCATCTATACACAAATGAAGCACACTCTGCAAACGGATCACAATCATCTTAGAAGCAATTTTAAAAAGTACGTTACACAAGCTAATAGGCCTAAAATGATTGAGCCTTGTGGGATTATCAATTTTCAGAGTTAGTGTAATAGGAGTATGATTTACCTCCCTCATATCGTAAACTCCATTAAGAAGGCCAATGCAGAAATCAACAAAGCCCTAGCCCATCCTCTCTCGAAGCTTTAAGAGAAGACATGTCCTGCAAAGCTCTGTAGACCTCCTCTCGTAAATATTTTAGCCAATTTAGAGTTTATGTATAGCGTGATACAAGAGTTTATACCTCCCAAAATCCTATCATTAGCCCGAGAAGCATTAAATGTAAAGAGCTTATGAAAATAAAAGTGAGCCACATCCTCCATTCATACTTCATCATTTACCCAAGAGCCATCATCAATCTAAAAATATCCATTTGGTGCTCACTCCGAATCAAGCCTCCTTCCTTCTCGAAAGAATAAAGAATTTCCTTAAAATCACCAATGAAAAGCCATGAAAGATCCGGTTCATCATTTAAAGTATGAATCAAATTCCAAGATTTATTCCTTTGATATTCCTCTGGTATACCATAGAAACCCGTACATCGCCATACAAAATTCTCCCTATCATCCTCAATAAGGACATCAATGTGATGATAGGAATACGATCGCAATAAGACTTTACAGTCAGATCTCCAAGCCATGCATAAACCACCTCTAGAACCCATCGCTCCAATGTTAATACAATACTAAAATCACCAGCCTTTTCAAACCCTCTCCATCCTTGAATCATGTAGTTTTGTTTCCATCAGAAAAACTACAGTGGGGTTGATGTCTCTCAGCGAAGGTCGGAGACAGTCAACTGCTCGAGGTTGCCTCAAACCCTGAACTTTCTAACTTAAGAATTTCATGGCAATCGGCGGACCAGATCCTTCAAGTCGGTCGATGTATTTAAAACAGTACTACTAGGGTTATTCTCCTTGTTTCGGGCTTCCACAGATGGGTTACCACACTGTCTCTTTGCCCCATCCTGTTTTGATATTGGAATTTCTTCATCTGCCCCTATCAAAATATCATCATTCGAAGCATTAGTTCGAACAGCACCCGCCCCTTCATTCGATGATTTTCCAACGAGCACATGACCCGTATTAAGGTGATATTGTCCCCTCAAATTACTAGTCGACCCTTTACTCGACCCTTCTTCACGTAATCAGGGACTTGGGGTGTAGTTTTGTCTTCTAGTTGGGGGTTTAAAGTGGCATCCCATTATAGAACTAATTCTTGGTTTTCATGCAAAATACGTAGAGGGCAAAAACCTTCCCCATGACCGAGCTTGCCACACAGAAAACAGAAGATCTTTAATATTTCATACTCAAATGGGGTATATGAAAATTTACCATCTGATAACGCCAACTTCTTCTTTCTCTTGAGCAATTTTCGTACATCAAATCGAGCCCATAATCTAATACTCCCCCGATAACCTAATGAAACAGCCGTTGAATCATACTCCAAAAAATCCCCCACAAAATTGCCCAATGATATAGCGACTTGGTTTGAAACAAAACCCATCGGTACATCATTCGCTAAAATCCAGAAGTTCATAGTTTGAAGTTCTACCATCATTGGATCCTATCCCCTTTGGAACCGATGAAGAATCAACACTTGAGAATTGAAGAATCATGGTCCATCTCTCGCAATCCGATTAACGCCCACTTCATGGAAAAGTCGAAAAAGATTCCAACCCCCCAGATCCATTATTGTAATCCTCTAATTGGTAGCCAAACGTTTTCCAACATCATTTTTATGGACAAAAAATTAATATTTCCCACAGTGAGGAACCGCCCGACTAAACAATTATCAAAAGAAATCAGAGAATCACCATTCACTTGATCAACCATCAAAGCCTCCTCCTCTTCCTCGCCCAAGTTTAAATATTCTAACTCTCTTTGTAGATCACCCATATATCAAGCAAGACAAAAGAATTTACCTGCACAAAAGGAGAGAAAAAGATCCAGAAAACTTAAGACCAAAACACAATAATTGTATTGACGACACCGAAGATCGAAAATAACAAAAACCCGAATATTGGTAGAGAAAACCCGAATCTTGGGTAGAAAAGTTTAATATATATATATATATATATATTTAGAAAGTTCATAGTTTTATTAAAATTAAAATAAATCTAAAATTACAATAAAGATTTACAAGCATAGTCAAAAATCTAAAATATAATTATGATATTTTCGTATTATCAAAAGTTTAATATTTTTAAAGATTGTTAATATAAAAGTTTAAAATTTTAAAAATCGAAGAATAATCTAATATTTTCTACTTAAGTAAGGATTATTTTTTAAAAACAAAAATAAAGATAGAATATTTTTTAGTTTATTCAAATAAAAATTTAATATTTTTAGTATGCTTAAATGCACATCCTTATTCAAAAATATTTTTAAAAGATTGAGTTTTTATTTGAGCAAATTTTAAAATATTATTTAATTTATTGAAATATTGGAAATTTATTTATGTATATTTCAAAACATTAAATTTTTATTCAATCATTTTAAATGATTAAACCCTTATTTTAACTTCTCTATAGGTCCTTATTTAAGTATTTAATCTTATTATTAATAATCTTAAAAAATCTTATTATTAGTGATTTTTGTTTGATGAACTTTTTTTCTCAACAGTTGTGTTTTATTTTGGTTTTATATTACAATAACATACGTCCCCTTTCTTTTGGTTTTATATGTAAATTGAATTTGTGTTTATTTTGTTTTTAAAATTTTAAAACTAGAGGTGGCAATCTGGTGAGGAAAAATAGAAAATTATGGGGATCTGAACTGATGGGATGGGGAATAACCGAAATCTTCACCCACGAGGATGGAGATGGGAGAAGTTTTATTCCCGAAGCTCAAATGAGGATGAGGACGTGGATTGCTATATCTGAGCCATGGGGATAATCAAACCATGGGGATAATTGAACCGTACCAGTGAGAATAACCGTGGAGATTTCAAAAAATATCCATAAGGATCCTCGAAATTTTATAAAATTTTAAAAATATATTTATAATAATTTACCTATATACCCTTCATATATATTTTTAATAAAAAATTATATATGATAAGATTGTGAGATTATATTTTGCCACTGTTATATCTCAATGAAACTAAAATTGAAGTTTAGATATTTTCTCATTTAATATACATTGATTTGATGATATTGAAAATGGTTAATATTGTACATATACATTGGGTGTTAGATGAATATTGACGTTTGAAACTTTCATATTATAGATAAAAACCAATTTGTGACAATCTGATTTATCTTACAAGTTTTATGTGTTGCATTGATTTCAAAAATATTTTTTTATAGAGATTAACAGAAACCCACATGGATCTGTAAAGGATGTATACGAGGGCAAAAAAAATCTTGAAATATATAATAGGAATTTTCCAAAACTGTACCTGCAAGCATTGGGGAAGGTAGGATAATAAATATCAGAGGCCAATATTTTACGTTGTTGTGTAGGATAATTTGTAAAATGTTTCATGATCTGATTAGATTATAAATGTTTTAACTATTAATCGTTTATTCAAATTTTATTTTATATTTTCATGAGGTAAAAAATGTATTATATTTTAAAAAATAGAATTTAAACCTATGTTATATGAGATAATATAAACAAAGTTTTGGGTAAAATATACAAATGGCTCTATGATTATAGGATATTATTTTGTTGAGTATTTTGACTATTAAAAGTTACAAAATGACCACTTGACTATTTATATGTTTCAAACTTGTTCTTTCCCATAAAAAAAATTGACGGTCATCTGAGCTAGATGTTAATCTGCTAATTGGATATGATAGTTGTTTAAGATTTTGGGATCAAACTTTATCATATCTCAATTAGCATGTTAACGTCCAACTCAAATCGTCGTCAAATTTTTAATAGAAAATGACGATTATGAAACATATGAATAATTGAATACCTATTTTATAATTTTTAATAGTCAGGAGCTTCAAAAAATAATTTCTTATAATTGAAAGATCATTTTATAACTTGCAATGATATAAAGACTCTACAAAGCAACACCAGAACCATTTATGTATTTTACTCCAAATTTTATCACTTAATTTTGCAGAATAAGTCTGGGCTAGGCTAGTAAAAGTGGGAAACCTAAAAGGCCCAAAAGGCAGACGACGGGCCATTCTAAGGTGGAAATATCAACTGATACAATCTTGACACGTGTCTACATTACCCGCCCTATAAGTATTTGTCCTTCATCGAGTGACACGTGTACACAAGTTCTATTTCGAGTTTCTAGGTAAAGCCCACCAGATTCCTCTTTCTGCTGTTCTAAAATTTCTAATCCATCCCTCAAGTATTTCCTTAAACGAAATCCTCGTTTTGTTTTTGAATTTTTATTTTTCGTCTTGTTTGTTTGCATGAACTCTCAAATCCCCAAAAACAAAAAAACCAAAAGAAAAAATAAATTCCCATCTTCTCTTCGAAGATTGAAACTTTCCTTCACTTTCCCACTGGAAAAATTTCAACCTTTTTCCAGGAAAAGAAAATGAGGTGGGAAAAGGTTCAGTCGTACCCAAAAGAAGTAGGAGGTGTGGGAGAAGCATATGCTGGGCCAGGGAAGAGATGGGGACATACGTGCAACACAATTAAAGGGGGCAGATTTCTCTATGTTTTTGGTGGTTATGGCAAGGATAATTGTCAAACCAATCAAATTCACGTCTTTGACACTAGTAATTTTTTTTTCTAAAAAAAATCAATTCTTTTCTCTTTTCATAATTTTCCCACTTTTTTCATATTTAAATGAATTTTTGAGTTTATACAGTGTAGCTTGTGTTTGGTATTTAAGTTATACTTTGGATCTCCAATGTGTTGTATATGTTTTGCCAAGTGATTCTCTTGGTGGAAATGTTATTGAACCTTATTTCTCTAGGGTTTTATTGTGTAAGCATCAATGCTCTGATATGCTTGGTTTAACATTTATTGCTGATAGGAATGATTCCATGCATATGCCACTTAAAGATTGTCGGGTAGTTTTTTTTCATAGACATTTTTGTGTGGGTATTTTTGGTTCAGCATACTATTTTTCTTGATTCCATTCTGGTTTGGCTTTAAACAAAAATAAATAAATAAATAATGTTTTTGGAACCATTTACCCCATATAACATGCCATTTCTTGATATTTTTTTGTACCAGTTAATTGATTGTATTTATATTTTCAGACTTAGCTTGTTTTTAATATCATTTATGATCCTAGGAGTTCTTTTGGAGGTTCTTTAATCGTTCATGTGATTAAATATTGCAATTTTGCAGCTAAGCAGACATGGAGCCAACTAGAAACGAAAGGCACACCGCCAACGCCAAGAGACAGCCATAGTTGTACTACCGTTGGTGACAATCTATTTGTTTTTGGTGGTACTGATGGGATGAACCCTCTCAAGGATCTATATATATTAGACACTGGTGAGTTATTCCCACAATTCAGTTTCCTCACCTCTCGTTACCCGTTTTCCTTTTCAATCCGGTTTCATTTTAGTTCCAGTGATAGGAATCAACATAATTTTTCCTTTTTAAGTTTGTTGTAGGAATTACTGTTCTTTGGAGATAGTCTTGTACTTGGTGAGACAGTCTTGTAATTTTTTACTCTCATGACTCTGAGGAAGTTGTATTCTCAATCGAGCACTCTGAAACTCTTATATTCATATTACTTGGGTGAATAAAGAACCAAGTTTTTTTGTTACATATTATTTTATTATATAATTTAAAAATAATACTTATATTTGTGGAGAGTGGGGTAGAAATGGAAAGACATTTAAGGCAACTACTAGATGGCTATTGAAGCGATCACACGAAGTTAACATTTTTCTTTTTTCTGTTATTTTACCGTTGTCCTTTTGTTACGGTCCCAGCTTACGAATCGGGGTTTTTGGGTGATTAATGAGAATGTCAAAAGTGATTGCCTTACCTTTATTCTTGGAAAAACCTATAACTCGGATACTTCTTCTCGTTGAAGGGAGATTGAAACCTTTCAGCTCATTAAAGGGAGATTGAAACCTTAGGACTCGTTAAAAGACAGATGAAGATCTTATAGGTTTTTTTTTTGAAATTCTAGCTTGCCCTATTCAATTATCAATTTGCCTCTTTTACAGGGAGCTTACACAGTTCAATTGGAAGACATACTAACCAAGTAATCCTACCAAGGAAATCTTTCTAAAAAACCAAGAAATTCTCAACATTTTCCGATTAATGACAAAACTGATCTGTACTAAAATAATAATATTATTTTCCCGAAAATATAATATTCTTTTCCTAGTAATTAAGCCTAATAATTAACATAACAGTTTCCTTCTGAGTTTTTTCATTGAAATGAAATTACGTGGTTTGTTATTTATTTTGCCTAAAGTCATCGCTGAAAACCATCTGTGGGCATCTTCAATTAATATTAGAAAATACGTTAACTCCTGACATGCTTATCTTGCAGTCACACACACATGGATCTGTCCAAGTGTAAGAGGTGAAGGGCCAGAGGCACGTGAGGGTCACAGTGCAGCTCTCGTTGGTAAACGAATCTTCATATTTGGTGGGTGCGGAAAGTCTTCTGATAACAATGATGAAATATATTACAATGATGAAATATATTACAATGACCTATACATTCTAAATACAGGTAAACGTCTTGACAATGGTTTATTCTTATCTTATTGTATTGGCTAATGTTGGCTTGTTAATTTGATCCCAAGTTACTTGTGTACTTCTAAGAATCGGAATTGAATTGTATTTTATATGGCTCGAAACACTTGGCTGAAGGGACATTTTCCCTATGTTTTATACATGTTTTTATTTTCCCGGAACTTTTTGCTTGTAGAGACCTTTGTGTGGAAACGCGCTGCAACATCAGGGAACCCACCATCTGCTCGTGATAGCCATACTTGCTCATCATGGAAGAATAAAATTATTGTGATTGGTGGTGAAGATGGGCATGATTACTATTTGTCTGATGTTCATATCCTTGATACAGGTTTGATTTTCTTCTTTTCTACAAGTACATCATTTATGTGTTCTTCTATGTATGCATTCATGTCTTAAGTTTGTTTAGTTTACATCAGACATCTGACTTATTATCCTTGTAATTTTGTTCTTGGAATTTCGTTATATGTACTAGATACTCTTGCATGGAAAGAGCTGAATACCTCTGGCCAGGTGTTGACACCTCGTGCTGGCCACTCTACTGTGGTTTTCGGCAAGAACTTATTTGTTTTTGGGGGATTTACGGATGCTCAGAATCTTTATGACGATCTCTACATGCTTGATGTTGGTATGTCTACATAATTTAATCATGTGATTGCCAATTGAATTTTCTATTTCTTGAAATCATAATTGTGAATGTTTTAGAAATTTGAGTCTCAAAGTGGAGGGAAATGCAATATTTTAGCTATCCAGTTGTTCATATTTCTGTCCGTGTGGCCCGAATGGGTTGTTTACTGATGAAATAATGCTCGGCACTAGTGTGGCTAGTTCATAATTTACGTTTCCTACCATTGGCACAGATACCAGCATTTGGACCAAGGTGATAACTATGGGTGATGGTCCTTCTGCTCGATTTTCTGTTGCTGGGGATTGTTTGGATCCCCTTAAGAGTGGTGTTCTTGTGTTTATTGGTGGCTGCGACAAGACTCTTGAGGCACTGGATGACCTGTACTACTTACACACAGGTTTAGTGTAAATATACTATTTACCTTGATTAAAGAAAAATTACATCCTTGGCTGCTTTTTATATATGATTGATTTCGATCGTGGAACTCCATAAATCTTTAGTTAACCTTCAGCCAAGATTCCAATACTGGTTATTATGACTCACAGGACTTGTTGTACGGGATGAAAGGAAGCTAGAGAAGTTATCCTTGAGAAAGCAATTGAAGCTTAAGTGTCAAGAACAAAATCTTTCCAATTTTGGACGCGATAAAGCTCTCCTTAGAATTGAAGTTGGCAATGATGTGAACCAACCCATTCCTTTATCTAGCTCTGGCCAACCGAGTAAGAACTCTTTTACTTGTCTTCTGATTTATTTTCTTATTCTATAACCAGTCACTCTTATTCTGTTTAAGGGTCTCTCTCTCTCTCTCTCTCTCGTTCTTACTCTTATCACCACACCACATAACTCCAATGACAAGCACAACAAAAATTAGTGTTTGGTTATTGAATCTTGCTTTATTTTCATATGTAATTATAAACAATAAAATCAGACTTTGGGTTACTTGTTACCGAAGTTCTGTGCTATGCTTTGCACAAAACATAAACTTAAGAAAACAAAAAGGGACTTTTAGACCTCCAGGTTACTTGTGTTTTATGCTATTCTTTGCAGTTTGCATGGTGGTGAAATGTTATTGGAGTCCTAACCGAAACTTTAGTTTCAGTGAAATTATTATTATTATAAGTTAAGTCTGTAAACAGCCAAAAGAGCCTGGTTTCATTATTGGGATTTAAGTTTAGAAAATTGTTATCATTTGTGCACTCATCAGTCATGTACTGCCCAATTCTGCAGGAATTGAGAATTTTCCATCAAACGAAGTCCTGCTTCGAGGAAAAAAGACATTTCAAGCTAAGGTTACTGAGAGCTTCCCACATGGATATACCATCGAAACTATTATAGACGGGAAGCCTCTTCGAGGAATACTTTTTGCTAACGTGCCTGTACAAGTACCCAACCATAATCCCAGCCGGTAGAAAATTCTTGCCACATTCTTTCTCCTTTAGCCACCATCGATGATTGTTGCAGAATTATTTTAGATAATTCTGGATTAACCATCATCAGTCACTGCATAAATTATATCTTGGATACTTGTGGCTTGGCTTAAAATTGTCTACTCATTTCAGAAAAAGGGCTTATGTAGAAGTTGGGGATACTGTGTTAAACGGTGATTGCAATAGTAAATTGGGAAGCGTGAGGCAGGATTCTGGAGATCATAAACAAGCTGATGTTGATGAGAAGGATTATTTATTGCTTGATACAGAAGCTCCTGCTCCAAGTTCAACGAATTTGGCACAGTCTGATCTATCCACCCACATGGTTAATACCTTCTTCCTTTATTTCCAGCGTACAAAAACTTGCACAAGAATTTGGCTTTCCTTTAACAAGCCAACTACTTGTGTTAAAATCCTGGAATTTCTTTTTCGAAGTTCTTAAGACTGTTTTGCAATTTACTGCCATCAAATTGGTACTTGTCAATCAGTCCAGTTTGGCTACTGGAAATCTGGAGTTTTTGAATCCGTGGTTTTTGCTTTTTTATTCCCTTTCCATTGTTAGTTCTTTCTTTAAGTAGCCATGATCGTCCAACTCATATCAGATACTAGTATGAGGATATGACCCTTTAAGGACTACGAATACATGAAAAGTAAAATTTGAAGATACCGTGGACAAACCCGAGTCCAAGTAACATAGCCTATAGCTATTTATCATGTGTTTCGCTTTGCCAGTCTGCTTAAATCCTGGTGAAAATTTAAGTATAATATGACCCTTTTGTATTTGGAGTACTGGCAGGGTCCTGCAAAGCAAGATATTTCTCCATCAGCAGCTCATCTGAACCTAAATGATGATAAGGCAGGCGATGCACTGAACTCTGGCACTGAAGTTCTGAAAGGAATTGGAGCCATGAGTACTGGTTTATCTATTAACTCAACTCCTAAGCAAGGTATGAGTGAATTGAAGAATCATTTAACTTACAGCTAATTCTAATGGCACTTTTTTCTCCTTTCCCTTGCATCTGCTGTCCATTGTTGCCGACTTTTAATCTATGTTCTAACACTTCATTTTGCTTGAAATACCCGTTTCTGACATTTATACGGATATGGTGTAAATATATGATCCTTAAAATATCCTCCAAATATATGAAAGAAAAAGAAACTCAGGAAAATTTGAAATACCTTTATAGGACACGTATTTGTATCTTCACTCGAGTCCGAGTAATATATAGACTGAATTGTATTTTTAGATAATAGCAAGATTGGATCATTTAGGCTTTGCTTGATATGAAGGATGGAAATGAGGAAGGATGGAAAATTTAGTAATCAAATGGTTAAGATTCAAAGAAAGAAACTGATTATGATTCTTAACCATTTGAAACATTTTAAATCCTTGTTCATTTCCATCCTTCAGAACAAACAAGGTCTTATGGCTGCTAGTCGATGGTAGTAACTTCTCTATGCAAGTAATAGCTTGCTTGAGGAAAAAGTTGAAAAAAGGACTTTCTTAAGAAACCTTCAGTAAACTTCATCCTATAATATTTACAGTGCTACTCATTGTTGTTTATTTTAAGTTCATCTTCTGATGAATACTAATTCTTGCAATGTTTCTGGCAGATGAGAGGAGACCAGACACCTTGGTGCTCTACAATACCGAGAAATCGATATGAACGGTGAACAATCAATCTTTAACTCCATTATTGACGACAACTCAACATAACGAAACACACAAACCATGTCTATATTTGTTGCTTCAAGGTGATTTTTGATGCATGTGTTACTGATGTATGATACTGAATCTGCTTAGTTTTTAGCAAAGTAATCTGCCCTCAGTTTCAGACTTCTTTTTTTCACAGTCTAACAACTAATATCTGTTTTTCCTGGGTTCGTACCGGGGTCCATGCTGTAGTTTTGTTTAGAACTGGTGATGTCTTGATTATCATGTCTTTGGATTGAAAGGATTTCTGCAGAAAGCATCCCAGTCCCAACATACAGTGTGGGGAATGCCGATTCTAATCGGAGAGCTGTGCATTTCCAGGTTTTGATAAATGTAACATTTTTCGGCATTTCCGAACTTTACATATATGATGTACTCTTTCTCTGAAATGATGTTGGATCTCAATTTATGGTAATCCAATGGTCTTCCCCCTTGGTTTTTCTGTGAAAATGTTTGAGCAGATTGAAGTGAGAGCATTTGGCTTCCACATGCCTATTAGTGCTAAAAGAGAGCACGATGACCCATGGTACTTCATGCGTATTTATGATCATATATTACTAGGGTTAGAAATGGTTTTGGTTTCAATATTTGAGTATTTAAATTTAAGGCTAAAATACTACATTAGTCATCAAATTATTACTTTTTTTAGTCATCGGTGTGAGATATTAAATATAGAATTTCATGAAATGGAATAAAGATGCAAAAGGTGTGGGGTTTTAGACCCCAATGAAGACAAAGGCATTAACTTTTGTCAGTAACGTAGTACAGTTGCTGTTACGATTTTAACCCGGGGTTTAATAGCAGTCGGATAGTTATATTGCGGTTGTGAGCCAATAGCAGCAATAGTGCGTTGTTATTCTGCTATTGTTTTGCTATTTTATTTAAATAGCATCCATTCGTAATTACGATAAACGTGACATGATTTTAGAATTCTATCGCAATAGAAATTCATGTTCCTAAAACACCTTTTTCCAGCTTGAGAATGGAATACAATTTCTTAATGCAAGTCTAGAAAAAAGTGGAGATAAATTACAACTGAAAATATTATCAAGAATTTAGTTTTTAGGCTGAATTGAAAATGTTACCTTCTCTATAATATTTTTATAATAAATGAAATTATTACAAATTATAAAATCTTTTGTGGTTGTAAATTTTAAAATTGTTGTAGTTTAACATTTTCTATTGTAAGTAAAATATTTGAATGAAATAACATTTTAAATTAAAAATTATTTTAAATTAATTGATGCGTAACAAAATTACTCTTTTTCAGCTTCTTAAATGAAAAAACACCACAGGCAGCATTAATAACTAGCATCTAACTACTGTAACATGCAGCAATGTATGAGAATACCTCAGCTATGTAGAGAAGCAAATTTGTGGCGAAATAGATGACCATCAAATATAGACCTCTTTGTTAGACGAACCAAACAGCTTATCAGACTAAAAGAAGAAAATGGAGAGGGAAAGCGAGTGAGAAAGTGGTTACTAGTTTGACTCAGTGGTTTAATATTTGAATTCTTTTATAGAAATATATTAATTGTCTAGTTTGACTTAGTGGTTTGATATTTGAATTCTTTTATAAAAATATATTAATTGTCTAGTTTGAAATTAGTGGTTTGATATTTGAGTTCTTTTATAAGAATCTAGTTATGATGATATCGTCAAGACCCCTAATGTTAATGACGATTTTTTTTTTACAAGATTACTGATAATTAAAATAAAAAAGAGATGACAATTTGATGATTAATATTGCAATTTATCTTAAATTTAAATATTGTAATATTTAAAATCTCGTCATTTTAGAATTTTGTCAATTTTACAACTAACGTTTATTTTTAAGTGCGATTATGCCACTCCGTTGTTAATGATCACGATGACATGGCAGTTGTTAATGGAAAAAAAAATGCTTTCCATGGGTTTTGAACCCGATCTTTTGGATCTAATGAGAAGTGTTTAACCACCAAACTAACTTATAATAATTTTCACAAAACTAATATATATGTGAAATAACTTTTTGAATGAATATCATTTTATTATATATATGATATATAAAAAAACTAATAATAAATTCTAAAAAAACCCTAAAATTTTTAAAATTCTAAAATTCCCACAAAACCCAAAGTCCTAAGTACCAAATCCCAAATTTCACCCATTGTCGCTACTGAATCAACGGCCACCGCCCACCACAGTTGTCGTCATATCCTTACCACTAATCACCCCACTCCTTTGTTGCTAGAAATTAGTGAACGACGTGTTAATTGATCGTTAAACGTTGAGTGTTAAATATTTTAATCGAACCATGAACGAAGATACATTGATGAGAAAATGGCTAATGATGTGCACGACGAGAGGAGGCTTTAGTGCGATGACAACAACGTTTTATTGATGTTGATGTTGGGCAAATTTAGAGATTGTGATTTAGATTTTAGAGTTGGGATTTTTAGGAATTTAGGGTTTTTTAGGATTTTCTAGAATTTAAGTTTTTTGGGGAAATTTCACAAATTTTTCTCAAATAAAACTACGTTGTTTTGAGTATTTTAGCACCAAACATAGGCATGCCAAAATGATGTCGTTTTTGGTAAGATAGTCGCATCAGCAATGTCACGGCACAAGACTGCCATGTCATTGTCCTGTTAGATCATGAACGACGGAGTGACATAATTGCATTTATAATTAAACGTTAGTGCTAAAATTGACAAAGTTAAAAGTTTAATACATAAACAAGTCAACACTTAAAATTTGGTGGTATCTGGTGTAGTTTACCCTTATTTTTATTTAATATTATTGTTGTAACCTAATTTTGTCGGGCAACATTTAATTTGAAACAGTCGAAGCAAGTCATTCGCACATTGAGGAATTTGATTCGGAGGATACTATGGCATTTTAAGTGGGATCCAAATTTCAATTACCTTTACCCATTAACCCATTTGCATCCAAATAATCCATGTGACCCATATCCATGCATAACCCAATTACAACTCATTTACAAGTCCAAACCATAATTCAACCCATTATCCAAACCCTGAGCACATTACAATTATAACCCAAAATTTGGGATTTGAATAAACCCTAGATAGGGTTTCATAGTCTCAGTTGCTGCCTCCAGACGAGATTCCAAAAGTTTTCCCATCCAACTAGGGATGGGCATGGGTCGGGTAGGATCGCATTTTTGGTCCACTCGACTCTACCCGAGAACAAGAAGTCCTCCACTCGAAATTCGACCAGATCAAAACAAGTTTTCACCCGACCCGAATCCGACTCTAATCCAACCCGATATATAATTTAAAAACCTGACCCGACCCGACCTGAAATAATAAAAAAAATTTATTCAATAAAAACAATGATTTAATTGAAAAAAATAATATATAGAGGGCTATTATTATAATTATTTATATATATTTAAGGTAAAATTATATATTTTTTCGGGTCGAATATTTTTCACCTAAACCTAAATCCGACCGAACATCACATTAAAAAAACTCGATCCGACCTGATTTTAAAAAAAAAAATATGACCCGATCAAATCACAACCCGTTAAATTTGAGTCCCATACCCATCCCTACATCCAACGAGGCTTCCTCACATGTGCCAGTGCCTTCACAAGATGCACCTTTCCGACGCGACTTCGTGGTCTCCTTCCTCCTCACGTGCAACAATAGCCATAGAGTGGCCCCCTCTGGTACACTACGAAACTGTTACTGCGAGGACAAAGGAGGCAATATTCCCTTGTACACCAACAACAAAATCGAAGCCACATGCAAACAAAAAAGAAAGGTGAGAAACAAAGAAGGAGAAGACCCTTCGGTCGGAGCCTCTGACCGGCGTTTGGGACTTTCGTTGGCCAATCCGTACGATGAGAAGGCTCGTCGTATCCCTTGGAGTAACATAGCTCGTAGCCGAGGTGATCCAACGGTGGACGGAGGAGATCTGAGTACTGAAAGTCAAAGGGTCTCGGCCTCGTTTCACGGTGTTGGAGGCATGTTCTCGTGAAACCGATGGTGGATTTGTAACCATGACATTAAAACGAGTCGGACGATGTGTTTCTGTCTCGAACGGCCACCAAAGACGACAACGATATAATGACTGACGCGACAACCAACGACGACATTTTCGTCGAATTTTGGAGATATAGAGAGAAGGGGGAGATAATTTAGAGAATAGAGAGAGAAGTGCACAAATGAGGAAAAAGGAATAAATGAGGGTGTTTATAGTTACTTCAAAACGTCGTCGTTTTGATGCTCTAACCCGTGTTTAATGTTTGAAGGGTCTAACCCTATTAATGGTCCTCCTAACTTTATCCCGTATTCAATTTGGTCACATGTTTTTTCTTTCATTTCATTTATTTTTAATTTAATTTTCCTTACTTTGCTATTTTCCATTTTTAAAAATTTCAATATTAACTTTTGGTTTATTTCTTTTCAGGTTCTTCAACATTAGCTGTGTTTTTACATCTTGGTCCGTGTTTTATTTATTCAATTTCATGCTTACTATTGCATTTATTTCAATTTCTTCTTTTGTTTAAAATATTAAAATAAGAATATTATATTATATTATAAGGATTATATTTTAAATATCTAATACTTCAATAATATTATTTTTATGAATTAATAAATAATATTAATTTTATTAATGATTTATTATATATTATTCAATAAAATTATAATACTATATATTATAAAGGACGTTTTTATGGGACGGGGGAGTAATGTTTTGAGTGTTGATACTTGGAGTGAAAAGTTCGTAAAATGACTTACAGAAAATCAGACTATAAGTCATTTTCCAAAAAATGCAAAGAAAATTCAGTCAATCAAGAAAATAAATTACATTGACCGTATATATTTTTTGCCAACCAAGCACTAAAAAATGATAAAAATATTTTTCGGGGAACAATTTTAAGGTACAAACGGACACTAAATTAATGGTTAACTAACTCATGACAGTAAGTCTACAAAAAAATATATAATTACAAAATTTGAACTTAATTTGAGATTTATAATTGTCGCAACCGACCCTCGGGGAAAAGGTCGACGAGTTGCAACGATAAGGGTTTTGAAGTGTTTTTGAAATGATTTTGTGAAATGTTGGGAGTCGTCACAAATCATTTTTAAGGTGCAATTGGAACACCATAAAAATTGAGTAATTTTAATAAAACATTTTATTTTTATCAAAATACCAAGTTTGGGGTTTACGAAAACCAAAAAATAGGTTTGAGAGTCGGTTACACTTGGGGAAGGGTTAGCACCCCCATAAAGCCTAGAAATTGGTACCTAGTTGATTACACTACTATAAATTTTGGAAATTTGAAGTTTAAAGTTTTATTTAATTTAGAAATCACTATGGATGCAACGTTGAAGAGGGT